AGCAAGAGAGAGAGAGACAGAAAGTGAGAAAGCAAACTACCAGGTCCAGGACTTGAACTGCCATCGACCACATGGGCATCCAGCACCCTCAACTACCACACCACCTGCTGTAACCTAAGTGTAGTAGTAACCTAAGTGTAGAATATTTACAAACTCTGCAGCAGTGTACAGAAATATCTTGGACCTGCATATTCACTCACCACTCTCTCACTGACTTACCCAAAGCGATTTCCAGTCCCACAAGGTCCATTCCTGTGAGGCACCCTGTCTACGTGTACCATCTGTCTATTGATTTATTTATGTTATGTTCAATCACTATGTATCATTAAGCATACCAAATGAATTTTCCTGTCATGAATACACTGTATATTCGTTCGAAGACTGAACCAATAATCTGTTGATTATCACTTCAGCCAAAGATTGAACCAGTAGTCTACTGATTGTCATCAACAGATTTCTTCCCATTTGGGGTCCCTTGAATGTTTTGCTTCTTTCTTCTTACCTTTGATCCCCTCTCTCTCACCCTCCCCCATTTCCCACCCTCCTCCCACACTATGTCCAGTATCACCATTCCTCTCCATGCTTTTATACCTTCCAATCTTTCAGTTTCTGCCATTGAATGTCTGTTATCTTTTATACCATAATTTTACTATACCTTTCTATGTTTATAAGTGTCACAAATACTTGCCACTGTGTTAGAGTTGCCTACAGTATTCAGGGTAGTAATGTGCTGTGCAGGTCTGTAAGGAGCCACATGCCATGCATCAAGGTTAGGTACAGCCTCCAGCTACAGTAAGCTATACCATCTAGGTTTATGCAGGTACATACCCTCTGGGAGTAGAGTATGCATAATGATGCTATTGCCTAAGAATGCATTTCTCACTAAATACCCCTGTCATTAAGTGAAGCATGACTACACACACACACACACACACATACACTCACACACACATACATATACACACACCTATGCTCCAAGTCTGTGGCTCGTGAACAAATGATTTACTATGTTGGCTTGAGTGATGCTTCCATATCATCAGCCATGTCTTCCTGAGCTCTGCTCCACTCTCATCTTTGAGTGTCTAATACACCCTCTTCCAGATGCCTAATGTGGTGATCTCCTATTCTCCAGCCTCAGTGTGGAGCTGATTTTTCCTTGCCAAAAATCTCTTAGAAGTCCCATGGCACTGGGCTTACTGTCCATGCCAGACACCGCTGAGAATGGCATGGAAATACCCTGCGTTCCTTTCTCTATCTGACTACACTGCTCTGCTCTCTTATCTGGGCTGGGATGTCCTATCTTGATGTGGAGGTTCTTGCACACCAAATACCTGGGGTTCCAAAACAAGTCTGAGGGATGAGCTCCCTGTTCTTGGCATCACCCTTACTTCTCAAGTGCTCCTTTTGCCCACACTGAGCCCAAGCCCTACATTTGCAATGTCAGGGTCTCCTTCAAATCTCTCATCTTCCTCTTGCCCCTAGAAGGGGGTAGGATCCACCTTATATTTCCCTTATGTTACTTGTTCTTTTATCAGGAAGCAATCCCTAAGGAGTAGCTATTGAAAGTAGGCAGAGCTTCTTCTTGTTAAGGGGAAATTTTGGGATTTACTCTTCTCCAGGGCTGATTGTTGATATGTAAGGTGTATGGAAGATATGGGAGGGTGATCCCAAAAGGATTTAGCAAATGCTTTCTTAGCACAGTACCCTACGATGCAAAGTTATTTGCCTATTGCATCATCCCACCATGTTAGATGCCAAACATTGTCTGGGTTTTCTTCCTTGTGTTTCCTCTATTACATTTATAAGCTTTTCTTCCTCACCCTCACTCTAGCATGCAAAAGAAAAAAAAAAAAAAAGCAATTATATCATGTTTTCTATGTGCTGTTTTAATCAATTATATTATCCTTTATTCCTTACCACAACTACACGAAGTGGACACTAATACCATCCTACAGTTGAAGGAACAGAGGCACAGAGAAATTTAAAAATTTGCCCAAAGCTACATGACGATAAGAGCCTGAGCTAGGATGCAAACCCAGGCAGTCCAGCTGTAGTATCTTTGCTACTAGTCACTACTCTAAAATGCCATTGAACCACCAAGTCTCTGGACTGATTTTCTAGCCACTTCACTCCAGGGGGTATCAAAGATTGTACCCGCAAATGGAGATGGAAATCCATGCCAGAGGGTCACAGATCACCTTTATCTTTCTTGCATCTTATGAAAGGCATCCAGGCCCACTTCCTAAAACGACCTGATAGATTAGGCTTCTGTGTCCTAAATGCAAAGGAACACCCACACCTGAGGAATATGGTCATGAACCAAGAAGTTCTTGAGAATATGGGTGCGGGGAGAGTAGAAGTAAGGCCTCTGATGCTATGGACTGCTCTGGTCCCTGGTCTGACCAGCACAGGCACACCAGCTGCCACTAGCTACAGTCTCTGCTCGCCAGGGAGGTAGGAGCACCTAGATACATTTGATTATCTAGCCCATACTTAATCTACGAGCTAATGTCCACAGACTGTTAGAAGACAGGTGGTCCAGGGAGGCAGTTTTTATCACCCCATACGACAAGCTTAAGGAGTAAAAGAGAAGAAAAAGAGAGAGGGAGAGAAGGAAGGGGCT